GAAACATCCTCAGATACCCAGGCCTTGTCATATGATTGAGGAATTCCAGCAAGAGTTCTTTGAACTGCCTTCTGAATAAAATTCTAAGATGCATTAACATGGCATGTAAGACTCCTAATTCTTTTGTGGAATCAAGCAGGAGCGTTTCAACCATCACATTTAGAATACACCGGATCAGAGCTAATAAACAGGATGACAATGAAGACTGCATCTATTAGTCCTCATTTGTATTAGATATTTTACAGAACAACACTGAAACAATGACAGCAAAATGATCAGTTGTACCAGACCCTTGTACAGATCATTTTAGCCAGGTTTGTTAGATTCCAAAGCCTGGAGGGAGAAAAGCAAACAAACAAAAAAACCAAAAAAACCACAACCCAAGAAAGATCAATAGCTGTCCTTCATAATCAAGGCTACCAGAAGATAAATAACAATGAATTCCTAGACTACAAAGAATTTTTAGAAAATATTGATTGTGTAAAGAGTAAAATCCAGAGATTTAAGTGGTATTGAAGATGATTAATAAACTTAAAATACTACTCTTTGTAGTTTCCACAACCCAAGAAAAACATATACATTAGTGCTCCAAGAGAAAAGTAGAAGCAAAAGCAATCCAAGCTTTGAAACAGCCAACTATTAGTACCTCTTGATCCCTAAACAATATACAAAATTATTGCTAATATTAACATATTAGATATTATTTTATTATATATAATATATTGTTTATTATGTAATATTATAATATATTAGCATATTATACCTGCATCTTGTAAGTAAATAAAAACAAAAAAAAATTGGTCTTAAAAAATACTTTTAAAATTAAATTTTCTGTAAGTCTCATAAAGTTTCCTTTTAAAAACAGGAAAAATAAAGTACTCTACAGGTGCCAGATGTACCTCCACAGTGAAGGCTGAATTCACTATTCAGTGCATGATCCACCATGTTTTTTAGTCACAGGAATTTTCACAGTTCCCCAGAACGTCACATGAACATTCTAACTGGAGATCCCATTCAAGAAGGTATTACTAAGAATTTGCAATATTAAACCCTATAGATAATCCACCTACGTATTTTCTGAAGCCTTTTATAGTTTCATACTGAATTATAAGTTTGACTCAAGTGGAAGTTCCAAATTCTTGTGCCTTTGGAGTTCTGCAGGCTATCGCTACATTAACTTCTGGGCTATACACACCTTTTCTGATACATGTCTGGCAAACCGCAAACTAAAGCAAGTTCTTTAACCCAAAGATTGTGGTAACATTAAAACAAATCCAGTATCCTCTTCAAAACAGACTTGCTAAAAGGAAAAGAACAACATTTTGCTTTTGTAAAGCAAAACAATGTATATAGAGCCCACTGCCCATACATTCACGGAATGTCGCAAGCTCCCTTCAAGATCCCAGATTTGGTAATCTCTGCCTCTCCCTGGGCAAAGCAGGGAGTTCACTTGCATGCCACAAGATGGGCAACCTCCTACCAGTCACTCATACACACTTAAGGATCCTTTGATCCTTTTTTCCAGAAAAAGGAGGAGGTGGGGAAGAAATCTCACTCTTAACAGTTCTGTTTCCTTCTTATCTTCTGACATCACAAACCTTTTCTTCTCTTTCCATATCCTTCTCTATCACGTAAAATGTTTCCTCTGATAGGCTTTATGTTTGCCATTGTTCAGCTCTGAAGCATTACCAAGCAACAGAAATGTTAAGATGCAGCAATGTTCTTTTTTCAGTGTAAACAATATGCATTTTCTAAGGTCTGCAAAAAGATTAAAAGTTGCATTAACTCTGAAAGTTAGCCTTCAAAAAATAAAACCTTTCCCTTTACAAGATTCCAGAAATAAATACTAAAGAAAACGTCATTTTCTTATTATTTTCACTGGAGAGTTTCAGTCAGAATCAGAGACAGCCAACACTTCCTACTATTTCAACTTTGGCATATTTTTGCTTCTACTTCCTGAAAAGAGATTCCACTTTCCCCAAAGACTCACTTTCCTTCCCAAAGAGAGAGAAGAAAGACAGTAACTATTCTGAAGTGGCTGAATTGTGAGCCTTCTATTAAGAACAAAAACGGTTTGGTGTTAGGAAAAGAAAAAAAACTTGATAAATACAATTAGAAGAATGTCATTATTAAATGACACGTGTCCTGAAAGTCACTGCTCTGTCTTATCCGCAAAACATCATATATATATACACACAGAGCAGTGCCCAGTATTTGTAACAGAGCACATCACATGCTATCACAGAGGCACTCAAGTGTTCCTTCCCTATCACAGACCCAATCTACATGCCTATCAAGTGATGTTTTTCCAGCAATTACTTTTTGGTTGTACAACAGAGGAACTTCAGGGCTCTAAGACTATGAGATATAAAGCTAAAATTAAACCTGACCCTACATATCAAAGCCAGCATTGTAATTTCAAAGTTTAAAAGAAGCCAAGCTGTGGTATGATAGGGTTAACAATCAGCTGGTCTATGTAGCAACAGCACTACATATGCTCTAACTTTTTGCCTTTTCATATGCCTCCATACTTGCTTGGAGCTAACAACAATCATCTGTTTTGTTCTTTAAGATCCTCATTTCATCTTAAATTCAGATTCTAAAGTATGTTCACTTACTCATCTGACCATAAGAAATGCCTGTCCCTAACTCATTTAATACTTTTAAAGCAATCCAAGACCAAGTAATTGCAAATGCAAAGTGTAACTGTGGGTTTACCTGCATTCAGTTGATTTGAATTAGTCAGCTTGTTACCATGGGGTTCAAGTAACAGCTTCCAAAATATGAAAAGATACTCCCTTCTCAAAGAAGCCACTATTTCTACTACAATAGTAAATTCTTTCATAGCACTCTGGAGACTGACCTCTTTTTCATCTGCCAACTGACAGCTACTTTCAATCTGAATTCTAAATTGTTAAATTAGTCACAGAGCTAACAGCATCAAAGAAAGAACACAGAGATGAGGGAAACACTGGAATCTAAACAAATTGCACAATAAAAGATATTCATGATATAGAACATATTTAGGAACAATAAAGATCCGCTGGCTCCAAATTCTAGTTCTTGTCTGTCCTCTCACTCTCTTCCCAAAATGAAGCAAAATTAAATAATCATGCTGTATATGCTTTAAAGATGTGGTGGGTTGACCCTAGTCAGCAGCTAAGCATCCACACAACAAGACTCAGTACAAAAAAACCCTTGAACATCCAAAGGATCCTATACCTTTATATATTTCTGAATCAACAGAAGCTGGCTGCAACTTTTCTCCTCAAATTATTGTATCTCTGTGCATTGTATAGACAAGTTCTGAACCAGTATCTCCATACGTCTTGCATAGCAATGACACTATTGACACCTTCAGGAGTAGGAGTCTCCCAGGAGTACATGACAGAGCAGCTCCCTCCTCCACCCTAGTGCTCCAGAAATAGACAAGTCATTGCTAGAAAGCATTTTTCAGAAAGCAGAGTTTTCTAAACACTGAATATGGAGAAGAGAACAAGGAGGGGAGAAGCAACTTATTCCTACTAAATTGAATTTCAGAAGCTTAAAAGACAAACAAGGTTGAGAATTTTTTTACTAAAAGAGAGAATTGGTACTTCATACAGCTATATATATATGATCAGGATTAAAATCAAAGTTGCTTATTATGCTACATCGTTTATTCCTCAAACTATCTTTAAATTATGACCCCTCAGGGATATGTGTTCTCAACCCTTATAATAGAAATATGGAAAAAAAGAGACATAATTATGTAAATATATTGAATAAATGTGTCTCATTTCCTTTCCCCTTACCTTTTCTTCTTCCACACTTAAATGTAGCAACACCTATCGAGACAACTATGTTTTCCAACAGCTCTTTTGCTTCTTCTTGAAAGAAGGAAACTACAGTCCCTTCGGTTTCTGTAGCTATCAAGAGACGGCCTTTTTTTTTTTTTTTTTTCTTCCCTCCTCCTCCTCCGCCCGCCAACACGGTGGAAGCCGTGTTCCTCCGGGGCAGCTCCCAGCACCGAGGGACAGCGGGGCGGGAGGCAGAACAACACCGAGGAGACCCAGCACCACCACCTGCCTTTCACACCGGCCCATTCGAGAATGTCAACTACATTAACCCGGCCAGCAGCCCTCCCAAACTTTTGCAGTGAACGGCATCATATGCTTACTCTCACTTCATCATGGAGAAAAAGATGATGACAGAAAAGGAATGAAGGACATGGGTTAACAGCACCTTCATTGTTAATCAATACAGAGAATACACATTCTGATTATGTTTTATACGCTCTTCTAAACTGACATTAAAATTTAGATTTACTGCAGTGTTCAAGCTGCCTGGAAACTTCCGAGAAGCACAGAATCCCTACTAAAAAGAAATAAAGCTCTTCCCCAACACAACAACCGACAATGGAGGATTTCTGTTGTATCTTTAAAGGTCATACATATTTCACATGTTGAACTACTTCTCCAGAGGGTCGTCAAGTAACTACCGAGCTACAAGAAGATTCATGGACTGAAAACCCAGATAACTCTGTGGTTACGTGTTGGCACATTCCCCTCCCTACAATTCCAGCATTTCACCGAGGTCACAGAAAAGCTGTCACATAAAACGACTTCATTTAGGACTGGAACAAACCAGGCCCCCCAGTACAGCCATAGAAGTCGATCAAACACACAACTCACAAAAAAAATAATGTTTATAAGAGAACCTGGCTACCCTTTACGTCCTTCAAAAGCGTCAAATACCACCAGGAAGTGGGACAGGGGAGCCAGGCATGGAGCAGAAGTCGAAGTGAACTACTTTTTTCAGAAATAAGAGAAGGCTCCCTCCCCGCCCTCATCGTACGCGCTCCTGCCCTTATATTCCAGCTCATCCTCTTTGCCCCCGCCACTGAGATTTCCCTATCGCTCCCAGCCAACTCTCGGAGCTCCCTGCTCAGCCGTGTTTTCCTCAGCCCGGGCCGCCCGTGCCCCTCCACCCCCGCGCGACCCCCGGGCCCGCCCGCTTACCGTTCCTCAGCTCGTGCTTCACCGTGAGGAGCGGCAGCTCCGCTTCCCCCGAGGGTCCCTCCATGTCCTCACGGGCGGCTCCCCCGCCCTGCCGCTCCCGTGAGTGTGAGCGCGGCGGCGGGGGGATGTCACCTGGCCCGAGACGGGTTCTATTTTCCAGGGGCGCTCCGGGGCAGAGGAGCCATGCAGGCGCGCTGGGGTCTGCCGCTCCCCCCTCCGCCTTGTAGGAAAACGGGGTGGAGGGGTGGGGGGGTGGGGGGAGGTGAGAAAACCCCAAACCTACACCACCCAACAACAAACAGTTATTAAAATCTAGGGAGGCACACGCACGACGGCTTCCCTCCCCCGGCGCTCAGAACCAACCCATGTCCTTGCGCCTCCCCTCCCCCGGGCTCCGGCCGCCCTCCCCGCCCGACAGCGGAGAGCGGCCGGGATAGGCTGAGCGGCACGGGGGGAGGAGGCGGCAGCGCCGCGGGGAGCGGCTCCGACTCAGGCGCTCGCGCCCCCTCCCTCCCTGGGCCGGGCGCTCATTGGCCGTGCGCGCCCGCGAGCCCAGGCGGCCGTCGGGCAGAGAACGTTCCCCGCGCGCCGCCCCCGCCCTTCCGCCGAGCGCCGCGCGCCCCCATTGGCTCGGCGGCTGCGCCAACCGCCGGCTCCGCCCCCCGTCTTCCCCCCGGCCCCTCTACTCCCCGATCTTGTTTGTAAACATTCCCGCCCGCCTCTCCCGCTGACCCCCGACCCCCGCGGGAGGGCGGGCGCTGGGCTGCCCAGAGGTAAGGGAAGGCGCTGATTGACCACTGGAGCTGGCAATCACCTGAGGGAGGGGCCATGGCGCCCTTCCTCGCGTTACGGGCTCGTTCCATCGCACTCGAAGGGGGGAGCGTCCGTGGGCTGACCCACTCGCAGCGACGGGAAGCGGGGGGATGCCGCGGGGCAGGGAGCAGCGGGGCACAGCCGGGGACGGGAGGATTCCCGCAGGGCCCCGGCGCTCGGCCGCTGAGCCCCCGCCTCCCCGCACTGGAGGCGCGGGCGGTGCGTGCGGACTCGCGGCGGCGGCGCGGCCGGGCTGGAGAGCCGCGGCACATCGCTGTGGCCGCCTGCAGCCCGCGGGTCACCGCGCTCAGGGACCCCAGACCACGGGGCGCGGCTGGCGCGGCTCCCGGTGCACGCAGGGGCGCCGGGTCGCGTCTGGTGCCGCCTTCGCCCTTGGCCGGGGCCGTGGAGGGGGCGGCGAACGTAGTCGGCTCTTGGGAGGTCGAAGAGGCCGCGTGTACTGAAGTTAAACCAGCCTTGGTGGTCGCTGGAAAGGCGCACGGCCTGCAGGGTTATCGCGGCTCAGGAGGTGCCTGGCAAGGGCTTGCTTGTCGTGAGGCGGGAGTGGGCGAGGGTGCTGGGTAGGTACATCCATGTGCCCAGTTCACCTTGCCTTGCCTAGGGCGCGTTCATCTGCTCCCTTTAGCTGCGGGGAGACACTGTCCTCGCAGGGGGCTTTGGTAGCGTTGTTGGGGGAGGTGCGGTTCAAAACACATCCGATGTGTTCATCTCAGCTAAGCCGCTCAGTCTGTTACGTTTGGGTGGCAATCTGTTATTTCAAAAGCTGTCCTCATTTCCTTGCAACAGATAACTCAGATGGCTTTTCTCTCCGTTTCTTATTTACAGTAATTTCTGACTCGTTGCTCTTGAATGCCACTGCTTCTGTCCTTACACATCAGTTGCTAATTCACAATGCCATGTCTCAGCAGCAGTGTTCACACAGAGTCTAATTAAGTTACATCAAAGATCAATGAAATAAAATGTCTTATGTTAATCCATTATTCGCATTCCAGTATGAAATATTTGTGTGTTTGTACACATGTATGTAAAAAATGCATGTACATGTGTACGTTTCTACAGTTTCCTGTGGAGAGATTGAGTTTGGCTATTTAAAGTCCGTGAGAGTTTCTGGTTTGTAATTGTTTATACACCAGACCTCAGGTTTAGGGTGCCTTTGCAGTTGTCATCCTAGAAATTAATAATACTACCTAAGGGTTTCATAGCATTTTTGGTAAAACTTTTGAAGGTGTTTCCCACCAAGCACTGCAGCTGTTCCATTGAGGTATCTCCCTGTGGCATATGGTACACACATAACTCCTCCAAAAATGTCCATCCAGTTACTGCCTTTCCCCCTGTATTATATCAAGACTATAAAAATAGAAAGTCTGACCATGGGAGATGTTTTCAAAATACTTGATTCCCTAACTTTTGTTACTTGTTTGTAGAAGCATCACTATTGCAGGAAAAGTAAATATTATATCCGTATAATATTAAACTATAAAAGGGAAAATGGAAATACTAAACCTCTTAAATTATTTATTAATTAACTTATGAAATTATTAAGTTTTTGCATCTTTGTAACTAATAGCTGCTAGGTACATCTGGGGGAACTGTGAGATCTACTTCTTCATTACGAGGTGTAACAACCACTTCTGATTATTCCATGTCCCAGATACTAGCTTTTAAAGAACCTGGTGCTATATTTCATCCAGTGGCTCTACTAGCCTACCCTTGGACTAACTGTCCCTGGCAGCGTCAGAGGAGAGAAGCTGAAATATGACTCCATTTACCAGTGCTCAGTGTGAAGGGTGCTGGCACTGAATCCAGTAGTTGTTAATAGTCTTGGTTTCAGATGTTCATAGCTTGACAGGCTGTATCTGCTAATTTGCCCCAGGCTGAAAATTTCTCCTTTCAAATTTCAGCTAAAACAGCTTTAAAAAAATGAGGCAACCCTAAAATACCAAACCAAAAATAGTGATCTATGCTGACGATGCATATAATAAAACACAGTGATTACTGTTTATAATTCAGTTTAAGATGTGACTGGCCTTGCAAAGTACTACTCCATGAACTAAAAGTTCTTTATTATCACTGAGGGATCCCCTGAAACATGTACATGAAACATGGTCATTCCATTAAAAAAAAAAAAAAAAAAGATTTTTTACATAACAGTTTCTCTAGTGTTAAAATGTTTTTGCATTGGGATTCTTGTGTCATATCCAGAAACAGCAAAGCAGCCCTGCTGAATGCTTGGAAAGAATCCCACCTTTTGACAGGCAAAAAGAGCTATACTTGCAGTGAAATCCTAAGCCTCCTGTCAGTAGTCCATGAGTACAAGACTGTGCTCAAGTTTTCCTTTCAGCTGAACTTTGGGAGCAGTGGAGGGTTAGACTTGGTTGTGTAGTTGACACGAGAGTAGATCTACCTTCAGCAGAATGGTCCAGGCGTAGTGGGCTGGTGATGTTGCCTCCATCATACAGCAGTATCACGTGGCTTTGTGGGTAGCTGTTAAAGGACAGAGTTCTGTCAGCCTTAAGGATAGATTGGAATTACAGATAAGTGGAAATATACAGGCTACATATATACCAGAAAATAAAACTGATTAGGACTCATTCTGTAGGTGTCAGGGAAGTTGCATGACATAGCATGGTGCAGCTAAATTCTTTCCCCTTCAAAACAGTGGCCTCTTTTTGCACTGCCTCCTGGATTTGTCAAGACAGCATACCATTACTGAGCTGTGCTAGCCTCCAGCTTGGATGTACAAAGACATTGCCTGGAAGAATACTGGCCAGGGACCCAACCATTCCTGGAAGCACGCCGGCAGTCAGAAGCATGGATAATCAGGTGCCAGCACTGATTGGGCCTGTGTCCTGTTTAAATCACAGACTGTCACAGAGTCAGATGAGGGAGGAAATTTGGCTCAAGCCTGCAGCCAAAGCAGCATGAGAAAGTCCAGGAAGAGTGATGGGCTTACAGGCAGAGGGAGTACAGACTGGTCTGTAAGAGATTTCTTGTTAGTTTGGAGAAGTAAAACCACCCTTGGTATGTAAACTGCTTTTAGAAGTGCAGTTTAACTGACTGAAAGTGTTACTTGCATTTAAATACATTTGTGTGTATGCTACAATACTGAAAAAAACGCTACTGTTTGTATGATGTGCATACAATAAATTACCCCTCTGGTATAAAAGGAAAAATATTTGATGTTTAAATGATTAAAAGCTATGGGGCAGTGCAGAGCTACTCACACTCCACAGTGTAAATGGTTTTTGTTTTTTAAGCAGCATTTTCATATTCATGTGCACAACCCAACAGGTCAGTCAGCCAACAGTTCAGTGTTTGGGCTGAGCATGTGCTGCAAGTTTGGGAATATGGAGTAACACTGTTCTAAAGATAGATGTCCCTTCTCTACCCCACAACACAACTGTTAAAAAATATGTGTATTTACTTGCCATTCCTAATTGTGAAAAGAGGGAGGAAAAAAATGCTGTGGGAAATTCCCACATGGAAGGATATTATTACAGAAAAAAGTGTCACAACATTTTCTTTTTGGTTCTAAAAGAGGCCAGGCTGGTTTGAGGGCTGAGGTGAAATTGAAATGCTCAGTGTACAGACGCCTGAGAGGAAATGAGAGAGAAAAAGAAGAACATGAGTGCTAGAGCTGCATATTTGCAGGGTGCCAGGGCCTCAGAGTTTTGAGGTATTTGATTTACTTTCTTTCTGAAGGGGAGCTACTTATGGAAACTATGCTTGTAGTTTCTATGGAGCTAAAGTTGAAGGTGTTTGGTGCTTTCTTATGGTCATTGAATTGTTACAGAAATAGGTGTTATTTTCAAAGGACAAATTTTGGAAGGCTAGATGATACAAAATGTTCCTCTTAATCACTCCACAGAGAACATTTGCACAGCAGAAGAAAAAAAGGATCAAGTTTTGGAAACCATAAAATGAATTTAGGGAAGGACTCACTGTGAAAGACAAACATGACATGAAACAGCTTTTGAGAGAAATTTTAGTATAGTATGAGTTCTAGTTTTTAGTTTGCATATCTTCTCTGTGATTTTTATCTTTTGTTTAATCTGAACCTTTAATTGAACACTCTGTGCTTGATAACTGTCAGAAAAGTAGTCTGGGTAGGTATATTTGCTGTTAAAAGTATTTTTTATGAAACTGCTCTGGGCAACAGTTTTATCTCTCTAAAACCACTTAATGTTTTTACCATGAAAGGAGAAGTTATGCTAAGCATCCAAGTCTAATAATTCTCTTAACGGAAGTGGTACAGCTCTGTCAGGAAGTGGAACATTTCTTGAAAGAGTGCATTTAAGCATTACTGCTTCTAGGGTCCCGTTTCAGTTAGTATTAATTTCTTCACTGAAAAGTGATTTATTTTTTTCTTCAGTCACTGTACAGTTGCAACTACCATTATTATAGGCAGCACTTTCAAAAGTTTAATTACTAAAAGTCTACATGGTTATAAAAGTGGGGAAAAGAAATTGTCATGTCTCTCGGTTTCTGATGATGAAGAGGAAAATGAATGAATGCTCTCCATAGGGGAAAGAAAGCAGCCCTAGCCATTGAAACAGAAATAAGGGTTTATTTCACTTTTTGAACTGCTAAAGTTTCTTAAGGTAGGCAGAAATGGAATTTCTGTTTAATAAAAATAATTTACTTTTGAATCCTAATCCTCACTCACAATAGTTTGATTTTTTTTTCAGATTTGTTGGGGGGAACATGAAGGACTGTGCTACATAATGTTGAGTAAACTCAAAGTCCTTTTCAAAAGACCTGCATGTGAATTCTCACTATTTTGAAAATTTACTGTCAACGTTGGAGAAGGTGACTTTAGAAAGGAGAAGTTAATCAAGGTGATCTGAAAGCCAGTGATAATGAAATTAAAACTTCATGAAGACTGTGAGTGCATTCTGATAGTTGCAGAAGTTATGGTTCTGTTTTCCTACCCCAGAGAAGGAAGCATAAACATGAGAAAAAAAATGTTTAAATGGCACAACTTAAAGTTGTGCTTTGTAGTTCTTAAAGAGAGCCTGCAGAAAAAGAGTGTAAAGAAGTGCCACATAAAATGAAGGAGGAAGAAGAATTTTTGAAAAGCATAAATGAAAAATAATAAATTAATTTCCACAAGTTTTCTTCTAATGATGTATTTAAAGGAATTGCATCTGTTAAATTACCAGAGAGCAAAAAGAGATGTAATGAAGTGAACAATTATTACAGAGGTTCCTTTCCCTGTATCTTGAGAAAAGTTATCTGATTATTGATTTTGAGCCTATTCTTTGAAATTTAAAAAGATATCTCCATGAATTGAAAAAACAGAAAAGAAAATCTGGAAACAAATGGATAAATTAAGTTAATATGTTTCAAACTCAGTTGCTGTATCTCCTGGAGTTTGAAAGGAACTTAGAGCTCCTCAGAAAAAAATACAAAAACTCCTTTTATTTTCAAGTACTCTATTAGGTGACTGGAAGGCACTGCTTAACATGGAGTATTATAATATTTTCTAATATAATACAATATGATTAATTATAAGCATCATTACAACTAAAAACACCATTAAAAGGACCAGGAAAATGTTTTGATGAAAGATTTGAAAGATTACTTTTAGTTTTAAAGAACAAAAAGAAACTAAAATGTATGAGAAACCCAGTAGATAAATGTGTTTCCATTAACATGGCCTAAATGTAAAATACTGTTGTGAAAAATCAAGTAGCAAAAACTATGAGAGTGAATTACAAATTTTCAATACATCCAAAAAGATGGGGATTTTTAACTTTACCTGCATAATTGACTCTGGCACTGTAAATTGTGTGACTTGGGACTAGAGCTAACAGGTAATTGGTATTGAAGCAATTCTATAATTTCATTACTATTTTTCATCCCATACTGATTTACTTAGATGTAGGATGCAAACTAGGGTATCTCTAGCTCAGCAGTGCTGTCTCCAGCACTGACCA